AGAGGTGAAGAGACCAGTAGAAGAGAGGGAAGCATCTGACATGTAGAAGCAAGGAGTAACTTGAGGCATGGGCAGGTACACAGGTGGAGGTGGCAGTAAGCTAGAGCCCCTGAGTTCCTCCACCAGACCGTTTGCTGCTTTGTTAAAGAAGCACAGTCATCATCTGTATATTCCCATAATGCTGCACATTCACACATATGCAAAGGCATGGAAGTATGATAGCTGTGGATGGCCTCAGTGGAGATTTTTGCTCTCTGGCTCAGTGATGTAGGAAATATCTATAGCTTTAAAAATTAAGGTCACTGAACCAGGAATCAGCCAACTTCTTGAAGAGAACAAGCAGAGACAGTTCATAGCACCCATTAGCATTCTGAATAAGAAAGTCTAGTTACAACATTGCATTCCAGAGTCAGCCTTGAGTCAGTAGCATCCACAAAATATGTTATTTTGTTTCTTTTTTTGGTTTGTGTTCTCTGCATGTGCTCTGGAGCTAGTTTATCTCAACTCTAGTGATTTTCAATATGTATGGCTTGATTTGGAGAAAAGAATGAGTACACAATTATATTTGCTACAGTATTTACCATTGTGTACACACAGCCACAACTATCATTGGCCACAGCTTTTCAATAGATGTATACTGTCCCGTGGTCTCCAAGCTTTTTCCTACATGGGAAATGTTTTCCATGAGGAAAACATGGAATGTCAGTCTAGAGGCCCACCCTGAAAATCCTAGTCCCAGTGCAGTGTCCCTCTCAGGCTTGGGAACCTGCTGTTATGTGGGCAGTCTGTTCTCATGCCAGCCTGCCTGGTTAGTGAGATGATCATCTTAAGCTCTTCTCTATTTTTCCTCTGGTTCTGAGATGTAGCAGGATGTTCTGCAACCTCTACTGGAGAACTCCCCATCTGTGGAATGCCCTCCTAGGGGAGATATCTGTGAAGATTCTCAGTCATCCAGGGGTGGTTATCTGGAAGTTGAGTCATGGCAAGTGGACTTCTTTCTTCTTAGGTTGCAATGAGATGATCATCTTAAGCTCTTCTCTATTTTTCCTCTGGTTCTGAGATGTAGCAGGATGTTCTGCAACCTCTACTGGAGAACTCCCCATCTGTGGAATGCCCTCCTAGGGGAGATATCTGTGAAGATTCTCAGTCATCCAGGGGTGGTTATCTGGAAGTTGAGTCATGGCAAGTGGACTTCTTTCTTCTTAGGTTGCAATGACTGAAGAAGCTAACAGTGGTGCCTCACACAACGATGTTAATTGGTTCCAAAAAAATCAACGTTCCTAACAAGAAAGAAGTACAGTTGCCATGATTCATCTTCCAGACCTCCTGGGGAGACTTACATGATGTTAATATCAGGAGTTGTAGAAAATTATGCTACTCAAAAGTGAGCTCCGTTGAGTTTAGCAGGACAAATTCCATATGTAAATTGATAGGATTGAATCCACAGTTATCAAATAAGACTTTTATTATTTTTCCTGGTATTCAAATGCTTGCCATTCAAGCAGACTATGGCTTTTCTTGATTCTCCTCCTCGCCTTCTTCTTCCTGTTATTGTTACTCAAGTCACTAGACCTAATGGACTAATAACCTCCAAGTGGTCATATCATTTGTAGCCCAGTTCAAGTATTGTAAACATTTTCCTATTTGCTATTATTACTAGGTTTGTGGAGTACTTCTTAGATCTTATATTCTTACGCTCTATTTTCTGCTCATTTCCTCCTTGGGAATCCCACTGACTGAAACAGTTGGAGACAAACTTATTGCACAAGTGACTATAAATCCATTGACTAAACACAAACATAAATAAAATAACCCTTGTGTCTTTCACAGTTGCTGCAAAGATTTCCAAATGTTATAAATTAGGGACACTTGTGAAGCTTGATCCTGACTCAGTTGTATTAGGCTGTCCTTTCTGGACTGAAAGCCACATTTAGAGATGCCTTAATAAATAAAATCCTTGTTCTTTGCAGCCTTGGAATTTCTTTTAGCAAGTGATCTTGAGGACTGAGTCTTCATATCAAAGGGATAATGGGGGCATAGTTCTAATTTTAAAGGTTAAATATAATGCAGAGAAATGGCAATCTTGCATTTCTACTTTCCTACCTTTACTGGCATAGGCTGGTGTCAAGCCATCAGTTTATAATAAAAAGAGAGAGAATTGCAAAGTCCACAAATGAGATGAAGTAGAGTGGAAAGACTTGATATCTAAAACAGATGCATCTCATACGTTGCAATGGTCTGAGCCATGCCAAAAAAATACCAGAGGGAGAATTACATGTCTCTTCTGGATGAACTTGTAAAAAGAATGTGCAGTTACCGACACCTGCTGGCAGCTTGTATTTATTGCAGTCATCATAACCATTCGGGAAAGGACACTACCAACCAGGAGGAGGGGTGGGAACTTGTGACCCTCCAACTGTTGTCAGCTTCTTATGGGCCTCAGCTAGCATGAACAATAATAATTTCAAAACTGCAGAGCTGAAAGGGATCCTATGGATCCTCAAGTCCAGCCTCAGTCAAGGAGGTGCAGTGGGGAATCAAACTCCTAATCTCTGGCTCTCCAATCAGATACCTAAATGGTCATGGATGATAGGACTTGGCATTCAACAACATCTGGAGGATCACAAAAATCTAAAAGCAGGTATGGGGAACTTCTGGCCCACCAGAAACCCCAGCCAACATTGCCGATAGTGACAAATTGTGGAATTTGCAGTCAAAAACATCTGGAGGACCAAAAATGACACACTTCATCCTGAAACTCATAAGACAGAAACCCTCACTAAGCATATGTACTATTTGGATTTTGTGGACTCCAATAGCCAGAATTTTCCAAAAATGTTGAGACAGAATTCTGGAAGTTCAGTCCCCAAATTCACATGTACAGACACATATGTTTTACTCACCTGGAATAGGGCCTTTCTTGGAGCCTCTGTGCTTATATTGGACCTGTACTTCCTGTCATTAATTTAAAAGAAAAAGGAAGCTGCTTTTGGGAGCTGTGGTCTTACTGCTCTTTGTAGAGTGTCTTTCTCAAAGAACTACAACACCCAGAAAGCACTGTGGCAGTTTCCTTTTGGGGAGGCACAAATGAGCCCAGGCTCTTAACAAGTGCAAGATGCTGGTTAAGAGAACTGTGGAATGTAATGTTCATTCCACTAACGCAGAGGTAGACAATTGTATAGTTCCTGAGGTGATGGCTGGGCAGCAGGGCATTACATATCTGTGTATATGCCATGTGAACATGAATAGCTGTTTTCTTCCCCACACTGTACTTCCAAGCCCAGCAGCCTCCAGTGTCTGCTCATCTGTTGCTATTTGCTGTGAATAAACACAAGCTCAGTTCTTATAGACCTCACAGAAAATGTAAACATGGTACATTCTCTTTTCTAAAGAATGAACTTCATTACTTACTTACTTCATTAATTAATTAATTTTATTTTCAGTTTGTATCCCCTGGGAGACTTGCAAAAGAATAAAGAAAAATAGAACTTAAAACCCAGAAGTTTATTTAAAAAAAAAAAAGCAGAAAACAGTTGGCAGGAGAGCTTAGGTTCCTTGGTTTTCTTTATTTTTTTATTTATATGTAGTTTGCAGCTATAGCCAGACACGTCAATATGGCATATGTGTGTGTTTGTATGTGCATCTCAACCACAAGTGACATATGCCCTCTAGACACTGCTATCTGTTCATGGGATTCAGTGTCAGATTTTTTTACGTGTGGTGAAGACTGAACGTCTAACTCACATATAGTCTGTGGGCTGTAAATCACAGAGCCAGCTACCATATTCATGGGAAATAGGACTACCATATTTGTGGCAAATCCATTCCAAGACCTACTGCATATTTTAATTGTTTTAAATTGTTTTGTATAATTTAAATTATTTTGTCATTGTTTAAGTTGTTTTAGTCTCCGTACTATATATCTCTAGATAAAGGGTAAGATATGAATATTTTACTAAAAATATATATTTAGAAATTAATAATACCATGAAATTAATTTGACACTCCAGACTTATGGCCCTCCTGACTGAAATGCTCAGGATGACCTTGAGAGGGAGGCAGCCAAAAGACAAAATGTTGCAGTAATCGGTAGCTTTAACTGCACCAACAAACACTGGTTAATTGGTTGCGAAAACCAACATGCTTTGTTACACTTACCTGCCTGGTATTTTGCAATAGACTCTTGTGCTCAGTGAGGAAAGGAGTTCCCAGATTTGGGACTTGCTTCCTCAGGAGGCCAGGCTGGCCCCATTTTTTCTGTCCCTCTGCAAGCAGGCAAAGACCTTTGTATCTTCAGGCAAACCTTCCCTCAGTGACTGGTTGCCTTCAATGGATTGTTGTGCCTTCCTGCTTTGAACGTGGTTTTGGTGTTGCTTTTGTTTACCATTTTTCACTGTAGTATTGCTTGGTCCGTTTTAGTATTTGTACACTTAACTGTTCTTAGCTTTAATGTTCTTTTAATAATGTAAGCAACCATGGGTCCTTTTTAAGGAGAAAGGAATTTGAAATATTTTAAATAAATATATAATGCAACCGATAAATAAAAAGATTTCCTCGGCGTAAGCTTTGGTGAACTGTAACCCACTTCTGCAAATGCAATGAAAACTTGGTGAGGGGGGCAGCAGCCATGTTTGTCTGTTGCAACAAAGGCAGTGAAGCCTTTGCTGCACCTTAAAAGATAAATGTGTTTTCTTTGGCACAAGCTTTTATGGACTTTAGCCCACTTGCTTATGAAGAAACAGGCCAAAGTCCGCAAAAAGCTTATGCCAAAGAAAGCCCGTATATTTTTAAGGTGCAGCAAAATTCTTCTGTTGCTCTTGCTGAAACAAACTAACATAGTTACCCCACAGTCTGGAATGCTGCACGGTGTGCTTTTACAGGCTGTGCTCAGACTATGGGGTCTCCCCTGCAGCAGAAGCGTCCTGTCCAACCTTTCTGATTCCAGTAAAAGAGCTTATCCTTCCCCCCCCCTTTTTTTTTTTTTTTTTTGGCGCGGGTAGCATCGCCCTATTGTGGTTCATCTTCAGCGCCTACGAGCGCTACGTTGCCATGCAGCCGCAAAGCAATCAGGAAATCCGGGTCGCAGACAAGAAAGAAGACTCCGGCCCTATGACTTCTCAAGCGTCCGTGCTCGCTCCGCCTCCGGGGCGGAGCGTCGTTCAGAGGTCCCCGCCCGCCCGGCCGGCAGTTCCTCGACGCCCAGCCCGCCCGGCGCCCGCCCGCCAGCCCACTCTTTTCGGTTCGCGTCCTGGAGAGGCGCGCGCGCCATGGCGGCTCGGGACGCGGCGTCGGCGTGCAGCGCGGCTTCCTTCCAGCTGCGGCACTTGCACCTGGAGCTGCGCGTGGACTTCGGGCCGGCCGGCTCCGGGCATCTGCAAGGCTCGGCGCGCCTGGAGCTGACCTGCCTGCGGGATCATGCCCGCGAGCTCGTGCTGGATTCGCACCCGAGCCTGGAGGTGGAGAGCGCCGGGCTGGCGCCGGTGCCGCCAGGGAACGGCTGCAGCCACGGAGAGGGCCGCGAAGCCGCCTCGTCGCTGCGCCCGCTCGCCTTCCAGAGCCGCCCCTTCGCCAGCTACGGCTCCGCTCTACACCTCACTCTGCCCGAGCCTCTTACGGCCGGAGACACGGTCGTGGTGGAAGTCGCCTATCGAGCCGGAGAAGGGCCCGGGGTGAGTGACGGAGGAGCGGAGGGACTCCCAGCTCTGCCTCTTCTTGGTTCTGGCCGCTTACGAGGTTCAAGCTTTGGACCGAAAGCCTTTCCCCCACGTACTCAAATGCTTTTTGTGAATTATGCCCGCTGCTCAGAAGGACTTTGCTCATTTTTTCTGGTTCCCTTTGCCTCAGGAGGAATTTGTTCCAAAGCTGGAGCTGACACACCTCTGGAAGCCCTTTCTCAGTCTATGGCATATTTTTCTCTTACGTTCATGAGGATCCTTATCTCCTTTGCTGCTTCCAAGAGTTTCCCAGCCCTTGTTATCAGAGTGAGATTTTGAATGCCTTTAGTGGTTTGGCTAACAAAGGAACTCCAAACGACTATTTGCTTCTTTTCTCTTTTCTTTCACTCTGTGTCAAGGCTTGGAAAAGTTACTTCTACAGACTCTGGCATGCTGGCTGCGAGTTTTAGCTCACAAAAGTGACTTTTCCAAGTTCTGGATGCTCCTTGCCATGTCCTTTGCTGTGTATGCACATCTTCTCTTCATCAGGAGCTTTGGGAATTTCCTGTGAGAAAGCCTATTTTTTTGTTGTTAACCAGAAAGGGGAAAGGAAACACTGAGCTTCCTCCTTTTCCCACATGTCCCTCGATATTTCATTTTCAGTTGGCAGAGAGCAAAATGACACTGCGGGGCTGTTAGCTTCCCTGGCCAGTTCAGTTAAAATCTCCCAAATAAATTCTGGAAAGCCTTGAATTGCTTGCAGACCATCAATCATTTGGACTCCTGCTGCCTCCTCCTCGTTTTTAGAGAGATAGCCAATAGTCTATTTTGGCAACAGCAAAACCAAAATAAAAGCAAAAGTATTGGAGCATCTTTAAGACTAACAAATTTATTTCACTGTGGACTTCAGTGCTATGTTGAGAATGGATTGTATCCAGGAAAACTCAAGCTGGAGTAACCTGGTTAGTCTCAAAGATGCAAAACTATTTTTCTTTCGTTTTTGCTACCGTCTTTTTCATGCTGTTCATGCAGGAAGAGCCCCTGAAATAAGGCCTTGAGTAAAAACTGAGTTTGAAATGACTTCATATTGAATTATACCATCAGTTCAGTTAGCACAGTTCTGTTTTCCAGAGGTGGACAACCTGATGGTTTCTAAACATTTTGGACTACCAGTCCCACTGTCCCTGGCCATTAGTTATGCTAGCTGGCTGATGGGAGTTGTAGTCCAGAACACCTGGTAGACTGGCAGCAGTAGCTCTTCAAGGTTTTCTGCACAAGTAGAAATGTCTACTGTAGATATTTGCCTTCCAGCTTGTGTAAGGTGATGAGGATGTCACAAACTGGGATAGCAGTGAGAACAGTACTTGCATGCCTGCCCCTTCTTCCATTCACATGATCTTTCTTACATGGGAGGCTAAAATCGGGGGGGGCGGGGAGTTGATGTCTGGTCTGGTTCATCCTTTGGTCATTGCACCCATATTTTCTTTGGTAGCTTTTGGTCTACATGTCACAATATCTAGAAGAGCAGTACAAACCCTGGGGACTTTCCTGCCGGCTGGATTTATGCTGATAAAGTCTTCCTAGTTTTTTCCCAGTCTCTTTATCAAAAGTTATAGCTGCACTAAGCAGAATCTATCTGTAGGCAACATGGCAGAGGGGAGGACTTTTCCTTGGACTTTTTCCCTGTAAGATATCTGACTTGGCATTACGCATTCTGTGCACACACTAAAACAGGTTTCATCATCCAGCCTGAAGTTTCAGAATCTGCAGTGCATTCTTTCTCTAATGGCAACAGGGTGCTTTGTGCTAGCTCAGTGGCTCCCAACCTTGGGTCCCCAGATGTTCTTGGACTAAAACTCCCAGAAGCTTTCACTACTTCCTGTGCTAGCCAGGATTTCTGGGAGTTGTAGTTCAAGAACATCTGGGGTCCCAAGATTGGGAAGCACTGTGCTAGCTAAAAAATTGGGGTGTGGGGGGGGGTATAGAACCATGCTTACTTCTTTGACTTGCAAGATTGGGAAGCACTGTGCTAGCTAAAAGATCGGGGTGTGTGGAGTATAGAACCATGCTTACTTCTTTTACTTGGAGTTCTCTGGTCCCACCAGGTCATTTCCACTGATATTCCCAGCTTGCCTTTGCTATTAGGTGAATGGAGCTACAAGCAAGTGCTTTCCTTTACTAAAGTGGCTGCTGTCCTTGTTATTGGTTAATGTTGGTACAAACCAGAACAGAAGCATATGCCTGACAGCTTGATCCTTGCCTGCTCTTATAGATAACCTGTCTGGATTCTTGTCAAACAGCCCAGAAGGGGAAATCATTTCTTTACACCTCTGGCTTTTCTGTGCTCAACAGGTCTTTGTTCCCTGGTTTTCACATCCCAGCTGTCAAGAGCACATCTTGTGCACAGATCCAGGTAATGTGTCCTATTGCTCATGGAAGGCTATCTTTTGTCTCTTTTGTCAGGTGTGTTGGCTTACTCCTGAGCAGACAGCAGGGAAGCAGAAGCCCTATATGTACACTCAAGGCCAGGCTGTTCTGAATAGATCCTTTTTCCCTTGCTTTGACACCCCTGCAGTTAAAAGTCCATACTCAGCTATTATAAAGGTAAGGCACTTCCTCACTATCTGGGAGAAGAACAGATAATCACATATTTGGCGAGTTACACAGAGGGATAGAGGAAACGGAGCATCACTTTCAAATTTATTGGCTAGAATCCTGTCATTTCGTACCCATCATCATAAGACTGTCAGCATAAATCTCAGCCATGAATTTCCACTAGTTCACTTGGTGGTTGTATTTCTTGTTCCCTGATAGTTGAGTGCAAAGAAATACTAAGGCTGACTTCTTAACTGGTGGCAGTTCACTGAAGAAACATATGCTGATGGACTTGGTATAACTTATGCTGATGGACTGGTGTCATTATTCAGTTGGATTTTTGGCCACTGAGTAAAAAACTAGAATATCTTTTTTAAAGTATTGGTTTTGTTTGTTTTGTTCTTTGTGAAACTCATGAAGGCATCCATAAGATTCTTGGAGGGTCTCCTGTCCCAACCGTGTCTTGTATGAAAATCCCTTCCTGAGTATTCAGCTGCAATTTGTGTTCTTAGAAAGGGGTCAGCAAATCTGACTCTCCAGATGTGTTTGGCTTACACTCCCATCAGTTCTAGCCAGCATTATCAATGACGAGGGAATATGGGGATTATAGTCCAAAGGCAGTTGCCTAGCCTTTCTATACTAGCATACAGCCTTGATTCAGAGACAGTGGGACACAAGTCAGTCCCTGTGTATAACAGTCACACACACACACACGTACCCCCTCACACACATATATTCTATTGAAGTTGTATATTTTATGTATATATAGAATATACAACTTCAATAGAATAGAATATAGAATAGGCCACAGTGTCAAAAACATGGGGGTCCACTGCACTGCACCACACTGGGTATCCTGCAATAGAATATACAACTTCAAGCAATACCTACAAAAGCGTAAAGGTCTGTGTGCAATACAGTGGTGCCCCGCATAGCGAGGTTAATCCGTTCCAGATTAACCTTCGCTATGGGGAAACAACGCTAAACGGAACGGAAAAGCATTCCAAATGGGCCCAAAACTCACCATTCTGCGATGTTTCCCCATCCAGCCGCGGCCAGTTTGTGTGTTCCGGTGGCCATTTTGGGTGTTCCGGCAGCTATTTTGGGTTTTCCGGCAGCCATTTTGGGTGTTCCAGTGGCCATTTTGGAACCGCCGAACAGCTGTTCCCCCATCGCAATGTGAAGAAACATCGGTATGCGATCGCATTAGCGATCGCAAAATCCATCTCGCTATGCGGATTCATCGTTAAACATTGCGCTCGTTATGCGAGGCACCACTGTATATCAAACCAAGAAACCATGACTTTGAATTGCAACTCCCATCATATCTCACACTAGGCCAAAATGGTTGGGGCTGAAAGTCCAATAGCATTTGCTTCCCCAATCTTGAGAGAGAGAGAGAGAGAGAGGAAGCAAATGCTATTGGACTTTCAGTCCCAACCATTTTGGCCCAGGGTGAGACATGATGGGAGTTGCAATTAAAAGTCATGGTTTCTTGATTTGATGATATATTGCACACAGACCTTTACGCTTTTGTAGGTATTGCTTGAAGCTGTATATTCTATTGCAGGATACCCAGTGTGGTGTAGTGCAGTGATCCCCCATGTTTTTGACACTGCAGCCTGGTGGGGGGGACGGGGTCTGCGCATGGAGGCTGGGGCACCTTGCGTGGGTGCGTGGGCATTCATGCAAAGGGGCAGGGGTACTCATGGGTGATGCGTGCACTTGCACACATGTGCGAAGGGGCTGTGCGGGAGTAGTGCATGGGGGGAGTGTGTGAGGGGGTGGTAGATCTGTGTCCGTGGCCCAGTCCAGCCAAGGCCACAGACTGGCACCGGGCCGCAGACCGGGGGTTGGGGACCCCTGGTGTAGTGGATAGAGTGACAGATGAGGACTCAAGAGGCCTGGTTTCAGATGTCCACTTAGCCAGGGAAACTCAGTGGGGATATGGAACTGGTAAAGGCAGTATCTCACTTAACTTGAAAGCCCTATTAAGGTCACTATAAGTCTGTTCCAACTTAACAGCACATAACAATAACATTGCAACAGTAGGCCTTCTGGTGCTCTCCAAATGCTGTGGACTACAACTCCCATTATTCCTGATCACAAACTGTACTGTCTGGGGCTTACAGCAGTTGTAGTGTCTTGGGGATGCCAGGTGGCCTAGCTCCATTCTCTTGTATTGTAAAGTTGTTGGTTTTCTCTTCCTATCTTTTCTATTGTGGATGGAGGGGATCACTGAATGCAGAACGCAACAGGCATCTCTGTCTTTGTTATTAGGTCCCTGAAGGTTTCACAGCTGTGATGAGTGCAGTTACACGCGAGAAGCAGAAGGACAACACATTCTTTTTCAAGATGCCTCATCCCATCCCTTCTTACTTGGTTGCCCTGGTGGTTGGTGACATTGTTTCAGCTGAAGTGGGACCCAGGTAAGAGGCTGCACAGGAAGAAAGGTGAACCACTACATGACTCTGGCTTTTCTGAAAAATAAAAATTCCACTGTCAGTCCTTTGGTCTTCTTTCTGTCTGATGCCAGCAGTTTCTGAATAATTTTGATATACAGTGATGCCTCACTTAACGATTACCTCGTTAAATGACGAATCCGCTTGACGATGAGGTTTTTGCAATCGCAAAACAATGTTTTAATGGGCAAAATTTGCTTCCCAACTATCGGTTCCCTGCTTCAGGAACCAATTCTTCGCATTATGACTATCAAAACAGCTGATCATTGGGTTTTCAGAATGGCCGCCCGCTGTGCAAAATGGCTCCCTGCTGTGCTTTAGGACGGATTTTTTGCTGCATAGGCATCAGAAAATGGCCGTCCTATGGAGGATCTTTGCTGGACGCTGAGGTATTTCGCCCATTGGAACGCATTGAACTGCTTTTCAATGCATTTCAATGGGCTTTTTTATTTTGCTTGACGAGGATTTCACTCTGCAGCGATTTTGCTGGAACGGATTATCCTTGTCAAGCGAGGTACCACTGTATTTGTTCTGATTTTTAAAAACTTTATTCTTGTGTGAGCACAAAATCTTTAGCTAGCAGTACTATGTAAAAAGAAAATCTTTAAAGTGAAAGGACAGTTCCTTTCTTTTGTACGCACTACAGAATATATTCTTATCTGCAGGGCTTGAAAATTTTTAGAATGTCTCACCAGTCAGTCAAAAACTTCAGCAGTCTGCATGATCGGACTATAGCCTCGTACTGAAGTGCCATTTATCGATGGCATTAGTAGGGTTAAACTGTGGTGGTGGAGGTCCATTTAGATTGACCATCATAAGGTCATCTAAGCTTTCAGTCTCTAAACACGATCTGAATTTATTTTTGATTAGATTTCATCTGGCGGAAATCCCATTCACCGCTAACTGTAGAAACTGGTAGAACAGAGGCAATTTTAGGGAGCTTCAGAAGAACAGGAAACCTACCCCCATGGTGGTTCATTGCCTTTCCCAGTAAATCCACTGATGACATACCTATTGCACATATTTTGAATTCATACCATTCATCTAGGCCTTTCTGAATTATGTCTTCTTTGCCCTTGCGTTGAAAAAATAAAACTGAAAGCAAAAGTGCCCAGCCTCTTAAGGAACCACGGTTCCCTCCCACTCCAGGATGTGTCCTCCTCTTTCGGTTGAAATTGGGAGCAGGGAATACATATCTCAGGGTTTTCTGATTCAATATTTTCAGCCAGTGAATAAGTGAATGCTCAGATACTAATGTTGCAGCTATAGCAGTCTTACTATATAACAAATATATGCAAACCAAAGTCAAGTAATGCAGTGTTGCTTATGTAGCAATTGATATATTTTTGCACCCTGTTTGAATATGGACTTATTTCATTTTTCCCTTGCCAGGAGTCATGTATGGGCTGAGCCCTGCCTGATAAAGGCTGCAAAGAAAGAATATGATGGTGTGATTGAAGAGTTTCTTGCTACTGGAGAGAAGCTTTTTGGGCCATATGTATGGGAAAGGTACTCTTCTTGCAGCAGTATTTGTTACTGTGACTATGAAACAGGATAGAATTGCCTGAAAACGAGGCGTGTGCGCACACAGCTTAGCCCCATGTGTGCAGTGGTGCTCCTTGTCTTTTCCCTTAAGCAAGTTTATCTATAGCTGGAGAAACCTGTAGCTCATAAGCAGATCAGGCCTTTTCAAGGCAGAAGGCTCCAGGTTCACTCCATGCTGTTTCAGGCAGAGCTTGGAAAGACCTCATCTGGAACAGGAGAGAGCCACCAACTAACCGTTACAGATGAGAGGTTGTTGAGTCGCGTCTGGGAGCATGGTGTGAGGGGATTCTTCCAGTGGAGGCTTCCATCCTCTTCACAAGCTTTTGCTTTCAACAGGTATGACGTTCTCTTTATGCCACCCTCTTTTCCTTTTGGAGGAATGGAGAACCCCTGCATCACCTTTGTGACACCATGCCTGCTGGCCGGTGATCGTTCCTTGGCGGATGTCATCATCCATGAGATCTCACACAGCTGGTTTGGCAACCTGGTCACCAACGCCCATTGGGGGGAATTCTGGCTCAACGAGGGCTTCACGATGTATGCGCAAAGGCGGATCTCGATGGTTCTGTATGGTAAGTTGCCCGTCACTGTTGTCCAGACTGTTGCTTGAATGGCTAAAAGGATTCTGAAGGTTGAGGTCCAGTGAAGGTCCTTCCAAGCACTGGTCCAGCTGGATAGTTTATAGTGTGGCTTTGAATAACAGGACAGCAAAAAAGTATGGTAGAGATTGGTGCTGTCCAGTATTCTAGCACGTGCTTTCCGCCCTCCATCTGTGGCCTCATCATTCAGGGGGAATACATGAGATTGGGGAATTTCAAGTATCTCACCAGACTACAGCTCCCAGGATTCCATGGGAGTGTGTCATGACAGTTAAATTGGTATCAGAACGGTATAACTGTGTCATGTACGTAGATGCATTCATTGTCTATTATGCTCTTGTTCTCTTTTTCCCCCCAGTCACTCAGATAGTGTTATGTGACCACTCACAATGAGCTAACTTTATTAATCTGTTTGAGGGACTCCTTCCCACTTAATTTTGCTGACATACTTTTGGATTCCCCCAAACTTGCTGATGTCTCTCTTCTTGTATGTGGATGTTTTCGGTGGAAGACTATTACAACTCAAAGCCTGAATGTTAGGGACGTAGACACTTTCCTGTGGAATTCATGAGTGGAAAATAGCTGTTTGAGGAGACTGTACCATGTCCTCCTGCAGACATTTGGATTGACTTCCAGCTTGAGGAATGGCAAGATGCACTGGCTAAGGGATAAATATATACATAGGCCAATGGAGAAGGCGGTTGCTTTTTCTTCCATTGTATTTCCAGTGGGATCTGCCTTAACTTCTAGATTCTTGTGATTCTTCTGCCCCATCAACTAATGTTGCCTTCCAAATGATTTTTCAGGCACTCTTGATCTCAAAAGACCAAAAAGACAAATGTATTTCTTTGTTTCTAGTGGTGATTAATTTTTACCCGCTCTTATGTGTGTTTCCTTAAACCAGGTGCTGCTTACACTTGTTTGGAGGCTGCTACAGGGAGGGCTTTGCTTCGGCAACACATGGACAACACTGGAGAAAATCATCCTCTCAACAAGCTCAGAGTGACAATAGAGCTAGGTTGGTATTGTTCTTGCACAATGTTCCCAGATGTTGTACCTTCCAGATATTTGGAGCTTCTATCCAGCTGGCGTGTCAAGCAGATGAGATGGTAGGACAGAAATCTGGCGTTGCATCAGCATTTATGCAATCATTTTTACTTTAGAAAGATAAACTTAACAAGGAGAAAAGGATGAACAAAAGATCTGATGGTCAGGCCTGTCCTTATCCTTTTTATTACTCCTGCACCAGGAGGATCCTGTTTTGTGAGCATTAAGGATTCAGAGCAGTTTAGGTGATGTGGATCTAGTTGTTGCAGTTTAGACATGGAATCTGATGCAGTGGTACTGGTGTTTAGATCTAGAATTTCAGGCACAGTGCAAAATCCTTATGATGTTTGTCACTTAAGGAGACCAGCTTTAAGAAGGTCACACTAGAGAGACCTAAGCATGCCACATATTAAAATGTTATGTTTTATTGTTTGCAGTAGGGTTTCTCTGGTTGTTAATCCAAGGGATATGATTTGGTCTGCATTTTTCTCCCTGCCAGGTGTTGATCCTGAGGACACCTATAATGAAACCCCTTATGAAAAGGGCTACTGCTTTGTCTCCTATCTTGCCCACCTGGTGGGAGACCAAAGCAAATTTGACGGTTTCCTACAGGTACCGTATGTTTGGAATTTGTTTGTGCTCCATTTCAGTTTCTGATAAACTCTGTTCCTTCTGCTATTTGCTTGTGAGCTATTTTTCTTTGTATTCGCGAAGGCTTTCACAGTCGGGATCTAATGGTTGTTGTGGGTTTTTCGGGCTCTTTGGCCGTGTTCTGAAGGTTGTTCTTCCTAATGTTTCACCAGTCTCTGTGGCCGGCATCTTTAGATATTTTTCTTTGCATTGCATGCCTCATATGATTTTGGTCACCACACCTCAAAAAATATATGGTAGAATTGGAAGGGGGCAACTGGAAAAATAACAGATCTGGGGGAAATTCCCTGTTATTTATTTATTTATTTAGTTAGTTTATACCCCGCCTATCTGGCCCACCGGACCACTCTAGGCGGCTTCCAAATATAAAATCAAATAATAAAACATAGACAAATACATAATAATCAAACAAGAACAGCAGTAAAAATAAAAAGGAAAAGTAAGAAAAAATCAAGAGAAAGAAATGTTAAGAAATGCTGCAACATTTGTGGCATTTTAGACCAGGAAAAAGGACAACCAATATCAGATATACGTTATGCATAGGATTAATAAAGAGTGTAGAGAGAGATTTTTTTCCCTTCTGTCAGTCATAATACAAGAACTTGGGATCATTCAGGGAAGTTGAATAGTAGAGATATTTAGAACTTATAAGAAGAATTTCTCACTAGATTGTTAACGGCCCTGCATGCTTAAGTTGCAGAATCTGCCACAAGAAGAAGTAGCAATGGCCACCCACATGGAAAAAAGAGATTAGACTAATGTATGCAATCTAAAGCCAGAAACTGACATTCACTGTGACTGAAAGAGGGAAATTCTTAACTAATGAAAGTGCCTGAATGCAGGCTTCTTTCATCTCTGAGATTATGTAAATTAGCTTCCTTTGTTTGATTATTAGTCTTCAGGACATAAGCACAGGATATCTTTGTAGCCTTTTTCTTCTTCCCACAAACACCAGAAGACGGCCTCAGGCAATTTTCTGCCACATTTATGTGCTTTCTAATTACTCTGACTATCAAAGGCTGCTTATCATGATAGCTATATATCACCTCCTGTCTTATAAGCAATATGCCTCTGAATACCAGTTCGCATGTTTTAGTGATGAGCTTTGTTTTCATGGTTACATGGTTACTAGTCCCAAAGTCTTCCAGAAATAGCACTTTTTGCTGATGGGGGGGCTAAGGGTATGTGTGTGTTTTTGATGTGTTGTTCTAGGAGCCTCTTTAAATCACACACATAGATGGAGGCAAGGTGCATTCCTGGCCTGGCAGTAAAAGTTGCGTTTGTCAAACTGGGCAGCCCCAACCAAGGCTGAATCTGCATTGCTGTTAGTATCATATTGGGCACTGTTTGAGAATGAAATGCAAAGTCGGGAAATAAAAAATCTTATCACAAGGAGAAGCTGCAGTAATCCCTCTTATGCTGCTGTACTTCTCAAGGAGGAGGTGCAGGCATCGGCTGTAGATGTAGTGCTTAAGGGATTATTCCGGAATACCTGTGATAAGGAAGCATTTGACAAATATGGGGAATGGGGACTTTTTCAGCAAGCTAATTAAATTTTGTTCAGCCAGAAAACAGAGGGGATTGCCATTTCACGCCCCAAAGGATTTGTTACTGACAAAAGCCATATCTCCATTTGTATGCAGAGAATGATAATCTAGTAGCTAAAATCTGGAGTGCGTCATCTCTGTCACCCATCAAACAAATCCACATTAGGGCAGGAATGGTAGTGGCTTACCCATCCTCCCAGTCAGATCTTGTTTTTAGAGTTAGAAGAGGTGGATATAGATTAAACACAAGCTTCATATACTCTGGGGTGGGCAGGTTTCATGCATTATTGCTTTTGAAGAGTTGAAATAACAGAAGGCAACACCGTAACTCAAGCCATTTTTTCTCCATGGCAGGCTTATGTGAACCAATTCAAATTTCAGAGTATCACGGCTGATGATGCTCTGGAGTTCTACTTGGACTATTTCCCAGCCCTGAAGAAGCAAGGCGTGGCAAGTATTCCAGGTCAGCAGAACGTCACCTTTGTGAATTTCCTCCATAGTTTTATGTAAACCTTACAGCTGCTAGCCAACCAGTTAACAGAATTCTCTCAGGTTCTTTTAAGTCACTAAGAAGTCCAACTTGGAACAGAGTGAAAACACTTATCCTTTACATCCTTTGCAATCCCTGTAATTGGGCAGGGGGGCGCTGATTAGTTAAGTGTAATCATTATATAAGCATCATTCTAAATAGCATAAAGCCTGGAGCATTTTTTTTTATTCCAGTCAAGATGATGTGAAGTCATATTTGAGACTGCAATATATGGCAGCATAGAATGCAGCCTGGGACATGTCTTTACGTCTTTTTCTCACTTCGCTGAAAATGATGGCACTGGGCTGTCAAGCTGTGCTCCGAAAGGGACTGCAAAATTAATGTCTCAGAAATGTGATGCCAATTGTGCATTAGGACTCTTGGTTGTTTATTATGGCGACCGTTTCTGTAATTGCCCCACTTTTTGCTTTTGTGGTAGGTTTTGAGTTTGATCGGTGGCTGAACACGCCTGGTTGGCCTCCCTACCTTCCTGACCTTTCACCTGGAGAGGAACTGATGAAGCCAGCTGAGAATCTGGCAGAGCTCTGGGCATCCCCGGACCACAATATGGAAGCAATCAGAGCAGTAGATATCTCTGCTTGGAAAACCTTCCAGCTGGTCTATTTCTTGGATAAGATCTTGCAGAAATCCCCTTTGCCAGATGGTAAGAGCCTTCCTCTGCTATGCCGAAGGACTGGTCACAGCAGTGTCAAGAAGGGTTACAGATGATGGCCTAGTGGGATGCAAACCGAGGGCTCCAGAGTGTGGTTACCTGGCCTTTGGGAATAGAGACCGGTGGGGGGGGTGTGTGTGATGTTTTTATTCATACAGACTTTCATGCTTACTAGGGGTGGAAGCTTTGTAGTCATGCATCACTTATGCCTGTGATTTTAAAAAAAATGGAAGAGCATCTACATTAAAGCAAGCAAACAGAATCTTGGATCATCTGAAAAGGCTGATGCTGTAAGTGAATAGAGGGGACAGCGGTCCAAAGGCAGTGTGAGAGGCAGCAAAATCTCAGAGGAGTAATGTGACCATTCTGTGGAGAAATAATGGGAAAGGCATGTTATTTGCCATGAAAATTTCCCTTTTGTAGTAGGAAACAGACCTTAATTTGTATCATTTAATATTAAGGACGCGTGGAGGAGATGAGTGCCTTGTATCCAAGAATCTCCAAGGCAGAAAATGCAGAGCTACGTCTTCGTTGGTGCCAGATTGTGCTCAAGAACAATCATGAGGCTGAGTTTGGCAAAGTGAAAGAATTCCTTCGCAGCCAGGTTTGTGACTGAATTTGCCTATTGAGGTTGAGGGCCCCCAAACTTGCAAATCTAGTAGCTTTCTCCCACTCTAATGTAGACTGATGCTGTGTTGGAAGGTGGAGTGAGGGGGCCAGAGTAATAAAAGATAAGAAAATTCTTGGTAGCTCAGAGCAATCAGTGATCTAGCTAGTCTAGCATTTTGTATCCACAGTGACCAGCTGATAGCAAGCCCAGAAGCAGAGCATGAGTGCAACAGCATCCTCCCATTCATGTCACTCAGCAGTTTGCACCAAGAGGTCTAAAGGCTCCAGTGCTGGAAGTAAAAGTAATATGCAATCATCTTGAGCCAATAAAAGCCCCAACCTTCATGAATTTCTCCAGTCTCTCTTTAAAGCCAACCAAGTTGTTGTAGTAGGGTTCAGACCCGTTCTGACTTTCTCCTGGCTACCCCATCTCCCAAAACAGATGTGGAATTACATGGTACACATGTCCTCTCCAGAAACTACTGTGAGGCAGCATGCTCCATAAATGCGCATGCTTTCATCCATAAACAGATGAGTGTGTGGGTGCGCGCACTCACACACACATACACACAGATTGTGTATGCAGATTCATAGGGATGGAATAGAAGGATCACTGGGAATTGCCTTCCTCCCAGCAGCTATGTTAAAGGTTACTATGCTTTGGGGCTGTTCAGATGCTTTTTAAGAAAGAGGGTACGCAAAAAGAGTAATCCTCATACCACCTGTTGCTGAATAGAATTGGGGGACCTGCAGGCTATAGAAGGTCTATGAACTCCCAGAAATCTTGGCCAGCACAGCTAGTAGTGAAGGCTTCTGGGAGTTTTAGTCCCAGAACAGCTGAGGACCCAAGGTTGGGAACCATTGCTGTAGAAAAACAAGGTGTGCAGGGATGACTTTCTGTATGCACCTTGTCTAGTGGCAACTGTTCCACACCAGGAAAGACTCTAAAGGTCAAATGCAGGTGACAAACTGTGTGTTTCCCATCTCTGCCCTACATCTAAGACAGCTCTAGTGGCTTCAGAAGCAAGAAGCTGACCTAAGTTAAAGTATCTTCCTCCTACCACTAAAACTGGCCTTTTATAGCTGGAAATAAAGATCACTGAGTATCTGGCTGAGATATCCTACCAGAGGTTTGAAGAGGGAATTTCCTAGCTTCGTCTAAAGAAAGATGTGAAATGCTTATAGGATTGGGAGTGAGTTTTTCCCCTCTTTATTTTAGGGAAAGCAGAAGTACACTCTGCCCATCTACCGGGCCATGGTGAATGGTTCAGAGACTGCCCAGGCGCTGGCCAACGAGACCTTTTCTTCTACTGCTCCACAACTCCATGTGAATGTCCAGAACTATGTCAAAAAGATCTTGGGGCTAAAAACTGAAGGAAGCTAAGAAGGAAACCAGAAAATCACAGTACTCTGTTGTTTGAGCTTCAGAAAATGACTGTTTGCAGGGGGTGGGGGCGGCAAAGGGTGAGTTTGTTATAAAAACCCTATTTCTGGGGTTCAACTTGCTGGACATTTCTGGGAATCCCCAGAAAGTGTGTTTTCTTTTTGGATATCCTGCTGATATAAAGTATTTCTTTAAAAAGCAACAAAAATTGTAAATGTTAAATACAACATTATATACACAAAATTTATATGTGTAAGTTTTAAAAACATGCAAGTTATTCTACTAGTAACATTTTTGTTTTTAATAAAAAGTTGCTAGTTGTTTTTTTTAAAAAATGCTGTCTTTTAATCTGTCATTTTGATATTTAGGTAATTTGTAAGTAACATGCTAGCAGGTATGCTCTCAAACGACTCATAGGAACCCTTAGGTGTTCTGAGTATAAATACTTGTAAGACATCTTTGGGACGTACTTGGCTAAAGTGAAACCTACTTAGTTTTGGTTCAGTTATTTCCATTTGCATACCGATTTACCAATTTACTGAACAAGAAATAAGGTGCACACATTGGTTATTTTGGAGAACAACATATCTGATGGGAGAGATTCATAAACACAGGCACTAAGCAGAAAACACAGTTGGTTAAGAGTTGGGAAATATTTACTGAAAGAAGCAAACTAGCAAGGCTGAGAAGGTTCTGAAATCTGGACCGCTCTTGTTGTACTGCTGGGGAGGGAAGGATTCTGATGCCTGGGGGTGGCAAAGATAGGAGATAATCAGCTTAGGGTGCAGAGGTGATGAGGATGCTGGTACCAACTCTCAGCTTTTTAAAGCCAGGTCTCCAGAACATGGGTCTCAATCCAACTGCAAGTGCTAATTACAACAGAGCCAATGATGCACCAGCATTGCCTCATCTTTGAAATGAAACCAGGGAAACAGCATAGACAAGGTTCTTAAGGGTGTGTCTCCCACAGACACATCATGTTGTAATACTGAAAATGACATTGTAGGAAGTCAGTAACATGAGCAAGTGCAGAAGAAAGTCCTGGGGCCTGAAATAGTATTAAAAATGCTTAACATAAATGTGATCATTTCAACTGGAGAGGAGTAGGTCACCAAAAAGATTATTATTAAGCTAAACCAAGGAATAATGAGCCTAATATGAAGCTGAGCTCTTAGGAACAGCAATAAACAAAGGAACCAGAAGAGAAAAAGCCACTAAGAAGACCATCTAAAGAGTAGTTGGGAAGAGGGAGAATAAGAAACCACAACACTGTGCCCCAAAGTCTGATATTTTTTTTTATAGGACGAGAATGCGAAGATGCTGCTAGAATGAGAATAAAATGCCTTCCTAACACCAACAAATGTTTTAAGAAGAGTGAAAAGGTCAAATCAAATTCTAGTTATCATGTTGATTGTTTTGCATAGTGAACCAAAGTTTTTAAACAAAGTCATAAGTAGCAGAGAGTCCCTATTTTGTATTTCCATCATAAGGGGACAGGTTATTTCATTATTTGATGGATAGCCTAGCAAAGCCTAACGTAGCAAAGTCTCTCTCCACTCTCCCTCCTCTTCCCCCTTTGCTGCTGTTACTGGGTGAGTGCAGGTTGGGTTGGCCATTTCCGTCTTGTGGTTTTCCTCTTCCCTCCACAGCTTACTGTTAACTGTTATCGCAGCTGGCTGGTGTGAGGCAGGAAGAAACCTCCCTGCTGTGGCTGAGCAGGACTTAAAAACGGTTTCTCTGTGAGCAGTTCTTGATCTTGTTCATTTTAATTTCTTGGGGACACTGGAGCACTTGTGCTCTAAGAGGAGTCAGGATCACCTGTTCGGTGAAGCTGCTGTCTAGCAAAACCAGAGCAAAGACATCGCGGGGAACCATACCATCTTCTGGGTAAGCAAAAGAACATTGACTCCAGCAGAACTGGGCTGGAGGATGCTCATCCATTCTTAAACCTGTTTTGCTGACTTTTTTTGCTCTTGCTTTTGGTTTTTTTTTGCATGCAACTGTGAATTCTCAGTTATCCTATAACAAAATTCAGCTGCAAAGGAAACATTTGCTTTGACTGCCCAGAATCCTATTGCTGATTTACACTGGGGGGGGGGAGAGAAGAGAAATTTTGTAGGCCTGTCAGTGAATTGCTGCTTGTTAGTGATGTGCTGACTGTACTCCTGTTTGCACACCCAATAGGGCATGCAGGTTGGAATGCAACCAGCACCTGATTAATGAGTGGTCATTTGCTAGCACGCTTGGGCAATTTCTCCTTCATAAGCTTAAATGACATAAGATTCTGACCCCTGATTGAATATTCCTCTACGCCTAGTTCGGATGCTAATGGTTCGAGATGCTGCTACCTATATAGTCCAAGATGGGGCTACTTCTGTCAAGGCTAGCAAGGGCCAAAAATGGAAATTGGACATGTACATTGTTCTGCCCAATGTGCTGGCACACAAAGTAGTTGGTATTGCTATACAGTGGTGCCTCGCTTGACAAGGATAATCTGTTCCAGCGAAATTGCTGTATGTTCCAATGGGCTAAATACCTCATCGTGCAGCAAAGATCCTATCATAGGGTGGCCATTTTCGGGTGCCTGTAAAGTGAAAAATCCATCCTAAAAACAGCGGGGAGCCATTTTGAGAGCCGCCGATCAGCTTTTTTAAAAACATCGTTAAGAGAAAAATCAGTTCCCAAAGCAGGGAACCAATCATCGTTAAGCAAATTTCCCCCCTTAAAATATCATTTTGCGATAGCAAAAGCAATTGCAAAAACCTCATTGTCAAGCGGATTTGTTGTTTAACGAGGTAATCGTTAAATGAGGCACCACTATATCTGTAAAGGCCAGTGGGTGGTTTGGGAACAACCAACAACAGACATGAAGAAATGAAAGATCAGGATTGCTAGCTATGTGGGAGTTGTTTCCTCAGCTGCAGCCAATTCAAATGTACAGAAACAGAAGTGGTAGAATCCTGGAGAAAGGAGGGCGGAAAGTCCATCATCTGCTTTCCTTTTGAATCTCCATTTATACAGGATACATTTCACACATACACTCAGCTGCAGCCAATTCAAATGTACAGAAATGGAAGTGGTAGAGTCCTGGAGAAGGGAGGGGGAAAAGCTTTCCCTTTGAATCTCCATTTATACAGGATACATCTCACACATACATACAATGTACTTTACCATTTGGGTGCCTGTCTTCCCCAACTTTGTTCCCTTTGGAACAGCCATTGTGTTTCACCATTTACTCAACATTTCAAAGTTGATTTGGCTTGATGAAGAGACTGTGGAACTACCTCCTAAAGAAAGTCCAGCTGGTGAGCTTTTCAAGAGCAGCTAAAATTGTACTAATTTGTAGGCACGGGTGCTTAAAACTGTTTTAGAATTATCTGTATGAGTTGGTCTGAGCTGTTTTCCAAGAAAGTTAGCTTTAAACATACTCTCCTGTCATTTATTATGTTTTTAAGCAATGTGTTTATTTTATTTAAACTTTTATGTCCCACCCTATATCACAGAGTGGATTACAAAGCTGGATAAAACAATGTTAAAACATAAGATATTAAAAACTAATTACTGCACTAAAACCTACGCAGGCCATGATCCTCGACCTCCAGAATAAGCTCTAATAAGTGCATCTTGACTTGATGCTGAAATGATGCCAATGTCGGCACCAATCAAGCCTCCAAGGGGAGGGCGTTGCACAGTTTGGGTGCTACAGCACTAAACACCCTCCCCCCATATCTTCACCTAATGAACTGTTCTCAATGGTGGAACATGGACAAGAGCTTTTTCTGTTTTAGTGCACAAGGGCTGTCGTAGGCAGCAAAGCAGTAAATAAGTACTTCTAATAAAAATGAATAATAATATATTTCTCTTTTGCCCAGGGATATTTGTAAGCAAATTTTAGGAAGATTAACTCTAGTGTTGTAGGGAGACACACGATGTAAGCTAAGATCATAGAATCATGGAATTGCAGAGTTAGAAGCGTTTCCATGGATCATTAAGTCCAGCCTCCTACCCTTGCAGAAGCTGTATTAATTTTAATCAGTATCATGATGTGAAACTAGATGAATAGGGCCAATAGCTTGTCATATTGAAAGGCACAAAGGTACCAAATCTACTGTGAGGAGACAGAGAAAAGATATAGGACAAATATTATTGTACATTGTATGTAATAGTTGTAATAAATATGCAACAAGAAAATAAAAGTTTGGGCCTACTAGCAAATTTTTTCTTTGGTTATCAAATTCAAATACAAATGCAGCTCTTTAGATCAACTGATTAGATATCTTCTGGAGTGGCAGAAGCTCTGGCCAAAACAGATGTAGACAGTCCATGAGTCTAAATTCGTTATTTCAGGCTTCTGCACACAAAAGTTATTAACAGATCCAGATAGCTGGATCATTAAGTCATTGTTCCTTAAGAGTTCATACAAACAAATAGCAAATGTTTCAAGGGGAGTATTCATGTGAATCATTATAGGAAAAACAAGAGAGTCTTCTGGCTGCTTAAAGACAAGTGCAGTCCAGCTTAGGCCAAATGAAAGATGTTGCTTTATAAGTTGCCATGAGACTATTGTTTTTACACACAGAAAGTATGTATTATTGAGAAGGTCAAGGTCAAACCAAGAATCTGCAATAGCTCTGTGGTAGAACTACTGTATAGAATTTCTGCCTTCAAATGCAATGACCAGCTTCTTATCCTACTTTTAATTTCTACATTCCCTTTTGCCCCAGACATCTCTGGCAGGGATGACCCAGCACTGCCTTGACCCATCAAAGCTGGAAAGTAAGCTGCATTCAGAGCTGGTAGCGCAAGTTCTACCTGTACAGGTGGCTTGTTTTAATTCTGAGCTTATTCACATAATTGAGCAAAAGGTTTTGACAGTCACTGAGCTGTAAGTTTCAAAGGTGGAACCACCCTGTTCAGCACATCTGTTAGAGTTGGCAACTACACTCTCATGAACCTAATACCTGAGTGGTGCAAAGTGAGGCTGGGAAGCAACACTTTTCGTGCTAAATATCCAATGGGCATCTTAAAATAATTCCCATTGCTTGGGAAACACTGTTATGCTCTGCCAGCTTCCGAATTATCCAGTATTGCATATTGCAATTAGACTCAGCTAGGAATCATAGTAAGGCTGTGTTATAATAAATAACGGGAGAAAGGCCCGCAACATAACACATAATTTTCAAAGCAGTGGCAGATCATGAGAGTAGTTGCTAAGCACTACTAACAATTTTCTCTCCTGCTCTTCCGCAGGTTATATCTCACAAGCAATAGGTGTCCCCAATAGCATTCATGGCAGCATCCTGTGAACACACACACATTAAACATATGCACTGCCTGTGATTATTTATTTATTTATTTATTTAATATATTTGCTGTCGTCCTTTCAGAATCGGGACCCAAGTCATCTTACAAAACAGTTTAAAATGACAGAAGATTAAAATACAATAAAAACGCAAACATTAGAAACAGAGTTAAGCTCAATTACATTATTAAAATGCAATTAAATTTAAAACACCTCTTCATTAAAAATAGCATTGCTAATTTGCCTTATAACCAGGAAAGACAGCCAAAGGCCTGCAGGCCTGAAAAAAAAAAATCAAGAACTTTGGCTGCCTCTAGAAGGACAGCATTGAAAAGCAAACTTATCCTCTCTTGGCAAGAGGTTCGAGAGGCTGGGCGTGGCAACAGAGGTCTTCTCTCCAGTCCCCAGCAAACAGGCCTCTGAAGGAAGGGGAATCATGGGGAGGGTCTCTCCAGCTGATCTAAAAGCCTGGGTAGGTTCTATAGGAGATTATAGGTTTTTTCAGATAGCTTGAAGAAAAGTCATATCTAATTTTCCAGCACTTTGAACTGCACACAGAAATGGTGAAATTATCTGTTCCCTGTAGCTTTACTCAGTCAGCAGTCTGGCTGTACAGTTTTAGAACATAAGTTCCCATATGCCCTTCAAAGGTATATGGGAACTTAACGTTCTAAAACTGCTGTGCATTACAGTAATCTATTTGAGATGTAACTAAGGCATGTGTCGCTGTAGCCAAGTTAGAAATCTCCAAGAACAGGTGTAACTGTTGCACTAGCTTCAATTCTGCATGTGCAGTCTTGGCCACAACCAAAACGTGGACAATAGAGGCTCAGGGATAAATCCAGGAGCTTCCCAAACTTGATACTTGTGAAGAATGTAACCCCATCCCAATTTCCTGATCTGCCTTTCAATGGTCCAAGAGAATCTCTGTTAAAAAAAATTAGGAAAATTAAAATTACATAAATGTAAGAGACATCACCTGGTCTTGCATTTGTCTATTTTATCTATCTTACAGACTGAGTCCAGAAAAATGGTTTAAAAACCAAAGCAGCTTCCTTGGGTTTAGATGAACTTGTTTGTGTTGAACCTCTTTAGTTCGTGAGTGGGTGGAGCGATTCACAAAGTTGGATTTGCAGCCAGTGGTCATAGACAGGCAATTTACATGCATCAATGGGCAGAAGCAAAAGATGCCTGAGTAAAACAGCTCATAGTCATTTTGCTTTGCTCTTTGGCCTGGGATTCAAATCAGCTACTGTTATCCAACCTTATTGTAGCAACATAATCCAAACTACCAATACAGGCCAATTGTCTTTTTATTTGCTTTCAGTCCCCTCTCTTGAAATACTGTATTCTGAGCACAAGGACATATAGTCAGTTGACATGTATATCAGCCACTAGGTGGTAGTCATGTCTAAGTTTACTTACTCTGGTGCTGCTGTTTCGAAATGTCTTCCATCTCTTGGTAGCCTAGGCTGCTCCTTGCTTACGGAAAGCTTAATGAGTCCATCTTGCCCATAGTTTGGCCACAACACTTCACAGAGAGGGATTCTCACCTTTTGGAGCATCAGTGTTCAATAAGGAAGTA